TAGATCTTTGAGTTCAGCTCATGAAAAATGGGGGCAAAAACAAAAGTGTTGCGTTTATAATTTTGTTCAGTGTAAATACACACACATACAGTATATATATTTTTTAATATTTACATGTATGTACATGTCTATATTTATATTCATATAATTGATATTATAAATAAATATATTTAATATATATATTTTTTTTAATTCTGAAATATATACGTGCATGTGTGTGTATTTACGTGTATATACATAATAAAAATACACAGTACACATACATATATTATGTAAATAAAAACTTTTATTTTGGATACGATTAATCACGATTAATCGTTTGACAGCACTAATATATATATATATATATATATATATATATATATATGTATATATTGTGTATATAAAAATAATACATATTACATACATAATATACATAATACATATCAAGTATATTAATTTACTAGATAATAAATCCTGCATAATAAGACAAGTTAAGACAAGGACAGTGTAATTAGAAAGTAAATTGGGTCACTTTTAAATTTATGTGATATTAAATGGTGTAAAATTGGACACTTTATTTAGAAAAATACTTTTTTGACTCATAATTACACCCAGATAGTTAATATATTTACTTTTAACAAATGAGGTTTACTCATTTCATCATCCAGCATAAACAGCAATGCATTATCTCTAAGCACATGGAATGTGTAATTGAAACTGTAATTGTATTTCTGAATACATTCCCATAATGTAATAACCCAAAAACTTATGAGTCAGTCTGCCTCTTATAATTAGTATGTGTAAAATGTAATTATGCAGAATGAGTCAGTCATAACTTTTTTTGCTTTCTTTTGTTATCAGTATTCTTGTAAGAGATGGTTCTAGAAATATGTGTTGTTTATACTCACTCTAGTCTGTGTTGTTTTAGCACTAGTTTACTGAAGGAATTATGTGAATTGGGTTCAGTTATGAAGCAAGTCTTTCAAATGAATAAACTGTGCTCAACTACACCACATGTTTGCATATAAGGTATGCCACAATGCTCTTCTCCATCATTTGATGAAGCACTACTGCCATGATAAATGTAAACATCTTTTTTTTTTAAATGGCATTTACTGTGACGTTCGTTTTAGTGTTAACAGTGCCACATTATGCACATAGCAGAGTTCCCTATCGATACTTCACTCGTACTGCGTCTGTTTAAGACGCTTTGGGAAAAACTCATTTTTCTCCGATGACTGAAGCATTTTAATAACGCAGTGTAACTGCACGGTCATTGGTTCGTGCAGTGTATTAAAAATGAACCAAGCCCGCTAGAATGGGCGGGGTCGTCTGGCTATATAAGCGGCACATCGCCATAGGATCCTCCGATTTCTTCTCCTTCAGCGACGACTAGTTCATCGCTGATCTACGAGACTCAAAGCCTCTCGCCGTAGAATCGCCTTTGCAGCGGATCAAGCTGAACCAGCGACCCTCTGCTCGACTGCTCGTTCGCATGCCGGCACTGTACCCGTGTGCTTGCTCTCCCCACTGCGCTTTGATCCGCCGCAGAAGGGCAGTGAGCTGCGCACTCACTGAGACAGAATGCTCACTCAGAGTATGAATCTCGCTCTTCTCCACTCGCGGACCGCCTTCAATGAGGCAGCCCCACTCTCCCGTTTCTCCTCTCTCGGCGAACTCTCCCTGCTGCGCTTCGATCAGTGAAGATCAGCTCCCCTCTTTAGATTGAGCGGCTCTATTTTCCTAGGTTGATTGAAGCGGAACGCTGTCACTGACCGCTTCAAATTGGTGTGTGTGTGTGTCGCTATGGCTGCGCTCACAGAGACGGGCTGCTTTTACCATGAAAGCAGTCTGCCCCAGTTCGTTTGCGGAAGGTGGCCCCGCCTCCCCGCTCTCTGTTTCTCTCCTCCTAGTTACCTCGGAGGAAGCAACGGCGAGCTCGCGGGTTGAACGATCAGGCTGAGCAATTCGTGCTGGCACACATCATATGCGTGCTTCATCCGCCATGAAAGCAGTCTGCCCCAGTTCGTTTGCGGAAGGCGGCCCCGCCTCCCCGCTCTCTGTTTCTCTCCTCCCAGTTACTCGGAGGAAGAAATGGCAAACTTGCGGGGATGAGCAATCAGGCATGAGTGATTTAACACCGGCAAGCCCCCGCATGCATCACTCTCCACGCAGCTCTTTGATCCGCCAGTGTGTTTCAACGCTGTCACCAATGATTCAATATCGCTGACAGCTTCGTATTTGAATGCGCCTCTCGCCTGGGCCATGCCCACGCTGAGGCTGCGCTCGCTGAGACAGATCGCTCTCACTACGAGAGTTCATGTCTCGCTCTGCTTTGCTCGTGGCTCGTCGTCTTCAATGAAGGCGGCCCCGCCCCTCCCCTCGTCCGCCACAAGCGGATCTGAGAGAATGCGCGCAGCACTTTTGATCTGCCTGAGTGTTTACACATAAATATCATCAGTACTTCACTTCTATTAAGCGGATTATAAGGGAATGCTGTCACTAATGATTATTATCACTGACAGCTTCAAATTGGACGTATCTGGGCCATGCCCACGCTGAGGCAGCGCGCACGGGGGCTGTCTGCTCTCGCTATGAGAGCATTAAGTCTAGCGAAGCATTTTTTGAAAGCATTTTCAAAAGAGAGCAAAATTCGTCTTCTGAATGTTGGGTCCCCATACGGCGACCAGCCGCTCTAATTAATCCAATCCCTTGTCACGCAGACTGAGGCCTGGCAGGCCATCCCCGGAGTGCCAGACTGGGTTTTGGGGATAATAAAACAAGGTTATTCTCTGCAATTCGCTCAAAGACCCCCACGAAGCAGTGGTGTGGTTCCCACCTCGGTTAGGGCAAAGACGCGCACGTCCTGCGCTCCGAGGTGATGAATTTGCTGGCGATAGGAGCCGTAGAAACGGTTTCCCCAGCTCAAAGCAAGTCAGGCTTCCGCAACCGCTATTTTTCTTGTCCCCAAAAAGGATGGCAATGGTCACCCATCCTCAATCTTAGGCACCTGAACCAAGCCCTTCATGAAACGGCTGTTCAGGATGATTACATTGAAACAGATCCTCTCGCAAGTGTGCCCAGGGGACTGGTTCTTTTTGCTGGATCTGAAAGATGCCTACTTTCACATCCAGATAGCCCCCCACTGCAGATGATTCTTGAGATTCGCCTTCAAGGGAGTGGCATATCAATACACGGTCCTTGCCTTTGGACTGCCCTAGCTCCTCGCACTTTTATGAAGTGCATGGCTGCGGCTCTTTCCCCATTGAGACAGATGGGAATCAGCATTTTGAATTACCTCAATGACTGGCTCATCTTGGCCCAGTCGGAGAATGAGCTACTATTTCCAGATCCTTTCTCCTCAGCCACTTAGAATGCCTGGGACTCAGGGAAAATTTTGCCAATAGCGCGCTGTCCCCCAGCCAACAGATCTCGTTCCTGGGAACAGTTCTCGACTCAGCCCAAAGGAGGGCGGTAGTCGCGCCAGAACGTGCACTGGCCATTCAGCAGCTCGTGGCCTCATTCAAAGTTGGAGCCCCTCGCCCTCTCAAGGCGTTTCAGAAGATGCTGGGCCTCATGGCCTCCATGTCTCCGGTACTTCAGCTGGGCCTGCTTCGCATGCGGCCCTTTCAGTGCTGGCTGAAACCTTGAGTTCCGTCACACACCTGGTGTCTCTGACTCCTTCATGTCAAGGTGGACCAGGCCTGCGTAGCAGCTCTGGCCCCTCGGAAAGACTCGGTGGATGGAACAGGGCGTGCCCCAGGGAATATTCTGCAGAAGGAAGGTGGTCTAGACAGACACTTCCAACATGGGTGTGCCGGGCAGGTTGAACCAGGGAGCAGACATGCTATATCAGAGCAACATCCCCTCAGAAGAGTAGATGCTCCACCCACATATGGTTCAGAGAATCTGGGAGATCTTCAGCAAGGCAGAAGTCGACCTCTTCGCCTCAGAAGACAACTCTCACTGCCCAATTTACTTTTCAAAGGACAAGGATGCGTTAGCCCACGACTGGCCCAATCTCCTCCTTTAAGCTTTTCCCCCGATCGCGGAGTGGAAACAAGGTTCTGCTGGTGGCCCTTCTCTGGAGGACCAAACACTGGTTCGCAGAGCTGTCTCAGCTGCTTATAGCAGCCCCATGGCCCATTCCCCTGAGGTGAAACCTCCTCTCTCAGGCGAACAGAACGATATGGCACCCCCAGCCCAAACTGTGGGTTCTGCACCTCTGGCCTCTCGATGGGAGCCTACGGACCTCCCTGAGAGCGTGCTAAACACAATATTTCAGGCTAGAGCACCCTCTACAAGGCGGCTCTATGCACTTAAATGATCTGTCTTTTCTGCCTGGCGCAGACCCAATTTCCTGCAATATATCTCTGATATTGTCCTTCCTGCAGGAGCTGTGGGATAAGGGTCGTGCCCCTTCCACGCTCAAGGTCTATGTAGCAGCCATAGCAGCCTCACACACTCCTATAGCTGGCCAGTCAGGGGGCAGGAAAAACCTAGTTGTTTGCTTTTTGAAAGGGTCTAGGAGGCTCAACCCACCTCGCCCTGTCACCGTCCCTACATGGGTCCTGCCCACGGTGTTGAGGGCTCTTAAGAGCCATCCTTTTGAGCCGCTACAGTCCGTTGACCTTCGTCCCCTGACGCTTAAGACTGCTCTGCTACTAGCATTAGCATCGGTAAAGCGTATGGGAGATCTGCAGGCACTATCAGTGAGCCCCACCTGCCTTTAATTTGGGCCCGACGACTCTAAGGTCGTCCTGAAACCAAGGCACGGTTATGTGCCTAAAGTGCTCTCTACTCCATTTAGAGCACAGGTGATAACTCTATTGGCGCTTCCTCCTTCAGAGCAAGACCAAGAGTTGAACTTACTCTGTCCCATCAGGGCGCTGAAAGCCTAGGTTGAGCGTTCCGCCCCGTTCAGGCGGTTGGATCAGCTATTTGTATGCTTCGGGGGCCACACCAAGGGTTGTCTGGTTACGAAGCAGAGACTTCCCAAATGGATAATTGACGCAATTATGCTAGCATACACTTCTTTGGGCCTTCAATGCCCCATGAGAGTAAGAGCCCACTCAACTAGAGGCGTTGCCTCTTCCTGGGCCTGGTCTAGCGGTGTGTCCATTGCTGAAATTTGTGTGGCGGTCGGCTGGGCCTCGCCGTCCACATTTGCCAGATTCTATAGTCTGGACATCCCAACCTTACAGGCGCTGGTCCTTTCTGCATAGCAGGGCACTCTGTCGTATGACAACCAGTGCTTGGCATTTGCCTCCATGTACGCTCTTGGCCCTCAGTGAGTTCCGAGGCTGTACTGAATTATTTCGGGACGATGCAAAATGCTTGGTCCCTCTTGGACCCCTTGGGTGCTTAAGGCAAGTTCAAGTATTAGTCGTTCCTCTAGCATAGCATGGCGGGATTGTACTGGTTCCCCAAAGCGTCTAAAACAGACGCAGTATGAGTGAAGTATCGATAGGGAACGTACTCGGTTACTAACGTAACCTCGGTTCCCTGAGATACGGAATAAGTACTGTGTACTTTGCCATGCTATGTAGCTGCACGACTCAGTCGTCACTTCAGTCGAAGTAACCTGAGGATCCGCCGTAGGCTCTTTCAGCTCCGCTGCCGAGCCATTGTTTCATTTTTAGTACACTGCACGAACCAATGGCCGTGCAGTTACACTGCGTTATTAAAAGGCTTCAGTCATCTGAGAAAAAGGAGTTTTTCCCAAAGCGTCTTAAACAGATGCAGTACTCGGTCCGTATCTCAGGGAACCGATGTTACGTTAGTAACCGAGTACGTTTTGTTAATATGCAGTGTAATGAGTCTAATTTAAATGACAATGACTTAATTTAAATACAGCATGGCTATTCTAATGTTTAGTAGCTGTTTAAACTGGATTGTGGATGGTAAGTGAATACGATTTTTATACTGAAGTAATGTGCACAAAACTGCTTTGTAATTTGTTAAGTTAGTTATTAGGTGAACGTGAAAAAAACACAAATACCATATCACAGTGGTAATGTCTCTCTTGTGCTTACGTAAAAAGCTAAAGCATATTCCTTATGTTTAACTTGCATGCATTTAGAGCCCTGTTCCATTGATCAGATTGGGCTTATTGAGTTTATTTTTGTCCCCAGACCACGCTGCCCACAGCAGACCCATCACAGGACAATCACACCTCTGCCATCACTAAGATATGTGACGCAGACGCTCCTGAAGGTAAGACCGTCATTCTTTATCACCCACAGAGTGACCGACTTCAGTGGAGAATGCTTCACCATACCATAGGGAATGGTTGGTGAGGAGTTTTAAAGAGGTTGTATTCTGGAAAGTGTTTTTTCTTGCCTATTTGAAGATTTAATTTTTTTTCCTGCAAAGAAACCAGTTATTACAGAGGTCATTTACATATGGAGGTGTTAAATGTACAGTAGCAAAAGCATCCAGTTAAATTCTAAGGGGCTAATATATATACGCGTTTATGCATTTTTTTGTGCAAGAAGTCTTGACTAACATTATACAGTAAGTAGACTTCAAGGAAAAAAGGGTAGTGTATTGGCCATTTAAAGAGTCTGTGGCTGTGGAGTGCAACTGTAACTGCCCACATTTTTCACACTTGGTTCATATTGTTCCCATTCATTTTCTTCATTGTGATTTAAAAAAAAAATCAGTAAAGATTTCTAAGCCACGAACTAAACCAACTCTGAGATGAATGACCACAGTAAAAACTTGAAAAGGACAAAAGATACTGTTCAAAAGTTTGGGGTCAGTAAGGTTCAAAAGTTTTTGGTCTTTTTTTGAAAGAAATTAATACTTTTATTCACAAGAACAGATTAAACTGGTCAAAAGTGACAGTAAACACTTGTATATCTTTATATTTCATAATTTATATTTCAGATAAAATCCCTCACCTTTGCTATGAGCAACAGTAATTGTGATGTTTTCCTTAGCAAATACCTTTAATGATAAGATGACAGAAAAAGCTGAACAAAAAAAAAACCCAGTAGAAATCAGTTGCGTTGCATTAGTCTGTGCCTGCGTGAATACTTCTCCATATGCCTCCTTCAAACAATGCTCTGTATCATAACCCAATTAAGTCTCTCAAAGCCAAAATGAGGCGCTGTCTCACACAATGGAGGATAAATCTGTGCAACAGAAGTTGCTCTGCGGGTCACCCGAAATTGATCCATCTCCAGTTGACTCGCACTTTAGAACCAGCGTAGTTTTAAGCCGTCTGCTTGCCAACCAGCACAGCCTCCCAATCTGTTTGTGTGGGTTTTGGCCTTTTCCCATCTGCGGTCGGTCAGCGGAGCCCAGTCATTGTGTTTCTGCCACCTACCCGTCATCCGCAAAACGCCTCATTACTGTTTTCAGATAGAACAGCGCAAGACAAGCTGTACACCGTCCATTAGCACGGGACTCTCCGTCGCTTCACAGCGGGAGATGTGATTTCCATTTGCTTTTATTACAATTACTGTTCACTATCAGTATGATACAGCTTTTGGCAAAATGGACGGAAAAAAACATGGTACAGTAAACGGTTTTTGACAATCTACATCAATCTGGAAGCATTTGAAATTTCCCCCTATATTAGCTCATTTTATCTTAACAAAGTTTCCTCTACTGTGGTTTGAATCCATTAGGCATGCTGAGTGGAATTAAAAGCTCTCAGCAGTTTGTTTGTGGTATGACTTAATCGACAAAAATGCTTATTTTAGTTTTTTTTTAGGAATCATCTGTCTTCCTCTTTCTCCAGATGGCGTATCTCAACAAATATTTGACTGTTCCTGTGGTTGCCTCTGATATTGAGACTCTCGCCTCTTTTTCAGGGTTTGATTTCTGTGATTGGAGTCGCTCTAGCTGAGAGGCGGCTGTTTTTCACCCCAAATGATTTCTCAGATCATTGCAGTGAAGTCCGATTTGTTGTTTTTGTTCTGGATAATAGGAACAGGCTAACGGTTTATTTTCTAAAAAGGGACCATTTTTGATCCGCTTAATGTTGCCGAGAGTTGTCCAGCTTGGTTTAGGAAGTCAGTGTAAACGATTGTTATTGTTGACATGATTTATGGCTATATAATGTCCCGTGGAGGTCATTCATATAACCATCATTCAGCAGCCACTCAGATGAAAGATAGTCAAGCTGTAACAAATGAAGTGTGCTTGATATTTGGGCTACTGTATGAATTAGTGTTCATTAAGTTCATTTTAATCATACACATAAGATGGTTGGCACTTACAGTATAGGGACATATATTTAAATCAAAAGAAAAAATATTGAAATGTACTTCTACATTAATTTTACAAATGTATGAAATATTTAATTTTGAATTAATTTAGTTGACTGCGGCTGCTAAGATCAGTTGTTTTTTTAGCATGCTTCTATGCTGTTGCTAGGGTGTTCTTGGTAGTTGCTAAGCTAAATAGTTTTTGGAATGTTTCTACACTGTTGCTAGGGTGTTCTAGGTGGCTGCTAAGGTCATTTGTCTTTTAGCATGTTTCTGTGCTATTGCTACGGTGTTCTAGGTGGTTGTTACACAGTTGCTGCAGTGTTCTGAATGTTTTTTAGCATGTTTCTGAACTGTTACGGCTCAGATCCCTTCAGTGTAAGTAAATGCCACTCATTTTATCGCCTGCCAGGAAAAAGTCAGATTGCTCTGAACAGTAATAGCACACCTCAACAAGCCGCATGATTTGAAGTATCATTCAAGTTCGTAGCACAAATGCCACGAGTTGTACACGCTGTTCAAATCCCTCACCTTTGCTATGAGCAACAGTAATTGTGATGTTTTCCTTAGCAAATACCTTTAATGATAAGATGACAGAAAAAGCTGAACAAAAAAAAAACCCAGTAGAAATCAGTTGCGTTGCATTAGTCTGTGCCTGCGTGAATACTTCTCCATATGCCTCCTTCAAACAATGCTCTGTATCATAACCCAATTAAGTCTCTCAAAGCCAAATGTTATGTTATGTTATCCAACTGATTATATGTAGTCCAGATTACATAATCAGATTCCAAACATGAAATACTTTTAATTAGGTGATATTACGTCTTAAAATATTCATAATCAGACTATAGTTACTTTTTCATTGAGTACTTTTTCACCCCCCCCCATAATGTTTAATGCACTTGCATGTTGTTGATAACAAAGATTGGAATATATTTTCTTTTTCTTTGTATTTTTATATCAATATGATATAAGACTGTCCTAATCAAATCAATGTGATAAACAAGTTAGGTTAAAAGTAATCAAAAAATCTAAAATGTGTAATATTGCCTAAAGGCTGAGCACCACCTTTCATCTTTTAATCATTTCGGGCTCTTTTTGTGTGCTGGCCAAAAAATTCAGCTCATTTTTCCCCAGTGGTTTGGATGCTGATGGTTGTAGTGATTAATATGATGCTCATGAACACAAAAGTGTCCCTTGTTGAGCTCTTTTTTTGTCTTGAAGAGAAATTAAGGACTTCTCTTTTCCTCTTCTAAAGAGTAATAAATGACAAAAGGCATGTTAAAACAGAGTGCCTCAAGTAGCCGCTTAATTATTGTAATTGAATGAGTAATCAATTCAGTCCTTTCCCCAATTCTCTCCAGACTTCTCTCTCAGCATATCGACTGTCACTTTGAGACCCTTGATGAGACGCTGAGCTTCCTGGCCCCAACGTGTGCTCGTCCTCTCTTACCTGTTGACCTGCAGCAAAAACCCGCCCTGCCAGCTGGCCTGTAGATGAAAGAATTGAATAATATCGACTTTTGCTCGCTCGCTCTCCTTTTGTTGCCGTTTTTCATCTGTAGTCCTCTCGCTCTGCCAGATCGTTCCCTCTTGTGCAGCAACCCGAGTCTTCTCATCACTCTGGAAGCTGCTCTGTCTTGCGTAACAGCCGTTGCACAACCAGGCGTGAGTGGGAGGAAGTGTCAAGCAGGGAGAACACATGCGACAGGGAGGGCGCTGTATCCAACCGAGAGCATCTCTCCCCGCAGGGCCCGACCCGTGCTCTCGAACCCCGCCACTCTCACGCCTCAAGTCGACAGAGCAAGAGGCGAGTCCTGCTTCACAGAGCACAGCTTGGATTGGCAATAATGCTGGGGTTGGGTTGTCCTTCAAGCTCCTGGAGGAAGTCCTTTGTGTTTGAGTGATGGAGAGTGTCAATTAGTGCCAGGCGGCATGATGGGATATACCGTGCGACGGCAGACATGTGTCATCCGGTAGCGGTTGTGCTGTAGGAGGAAGATATATTTGTGTTGCTGGTGGTGTGCAGGACTGCTTTACGTTATTTTCACTTGAGAGGGAAATACGAATAAATGTAAAAAAAACTGAGCATGACATATTATACACAAGTCAAAACGTGGCAGAACTAGTTATTATGGGGTGTTGTGTTGAGAGTTTAGTTGCATATGGTTGCTAGGCAACATTGCATCTTCACACTTTTATATAGACTTCAGTTCCTGTGCAATCACAGATGTATGCATTTTGACTATTTTGTGGCTTTGAATATGGCATCCATCGAGAGTTTAGTGTCTGTATTTGTTTTGTGCAGTTGTGCATATTTTTATAACTTTACATTTAAACTCTATAGCATACAGTATATAGCATCGTTGCACTTTGAGCATCCTGAGTTTGAGTCCTGGCTCTTGGACCTTTCCCACTTTGCTTCCTGTCTACTCACTGTTCTATTACAATAAAGGCAAAAATGCTGAAAATAAATCTTAAAAACAAACACTTTACGTATAAAACGGACACACTCTTTATAATTAAATATATAAAATCTATATGTTTGTTCTTATTTTCAGTCATATATAAATGATATTTTATAATTTCATAAATAGAGTATAAAATAATATATAATTTAAAAATAATTTTGTTATATATTTCAAAAGTTTCGATCAGTAAGATTTTTAATGTTATTTAAAGGCATTTCTTCTCAAATATTAAAAATACAGAATATTGTGAAATATTATTACATCTGAAAATAACTGTTTCCTATTTTAATATACTGTAAAATATCATTTATTCATGTGATGCAAAGCTGAATTTTCCTAATCCATTACCACAGTCTTCAGTGTCACATGATCCTTCAGAAATCATTTTGATTTATTAACATAATTTGCTGATTTATTATCAATGTTGGAAACAGTTTTTGCTGCTTAATATTTTTTGGGAACCCGTGATACTTTTTTTTAGGATTTTTTGATGAATAAAAAGTTAAAAAGAACAGTATTTATTTGAAATAGAAATAACAATATAAGTCTTTACCATCACTTTTTATTCATTTAACACATCCTTGCTGAAAACAATTACCGACCCAAAACATTTGAACGGTAGTGTACTGTATATTATTACAAATATTTATTCTTTTTTTTAAATAAATGCTGTTCTTTTTTACTGTTTATTCATCAAATAATCCTGATAAAAGTATCACAGGTTACAAAAAAATATTAAGTAGCAAAAACGGTTTCCGATATTGAGAATAAATCACTTTTTATTTTAAGTTATTATTTTATAATAACATCTATTAATTTATTTTATAATAATGTAGCTTTTTTATTGTGTTTTTAACTCAAGTTACACAAGACCGGCAGAAAACACATACATACTGATGCCATTATATAAAATTAGTCATGTTGTGATATAAGATTTCGGTCATACCGCCCACCCTTAGTGTCAATTAAACAGGAGCTGGGATTCATGGGATCTTGCTATGCATACAGAATTTGAGTTCAAACCGCTGCTGAAGTCATCTGAACTGCTGAATGGACAGCTATGGAGTTAATTTGACAAAAGGCACCGCTCGTGTCTTTATGTGCTTTTTTATGCATTCAACAGGCAACTGCATTATCGTTTTCCTGATCTCCCTTATTTTCACAATCCCTCGTTTTTCTGATTTATTTTTGCTCCTGCATGTCTCTCTTCCTGTCTTTCTCTCTGCATTCATTTAATGATATTATATCTGTTCATTTTAGTTCAGATATATGCAGTGTATCGGGAGGATCAAGTTTTGTTGCCATGGCTACCATCCACCAAGTCACTTGGTGTGCCAATTGATTCAGGAGCCGCAAATTAAAATGAAACTTACAATATTCTGCTCTCCCCTCCAGTCGGCCAGGCATACATTTACTCATCCTGTCAGATTGATTTCTAACCATGGTCTAATGAACCCATGATGCTCGTCTGGCTCTCAGCAAATGCACAGATGTGGTTTGTTTGGAAAAATATATCCTGTTGATTTTTACGGCACTGATCATAAGAGCTCAGAGCGCTCCGAATGAGTAAGAAAATAAATAATAAAGATTAAAATATTTATTCCTCTATTAAATTATTAGGCATTTTCAGACACTCAAAAGCAGATTAAAATACTTTAGTCTTACTGTGAAAAGGATTAGTTCTCTTTAAAATGACAAAAAAGTCATTATTTACTCATCCTTGTGTTAATTCAAACAGTTAGAGTTTCTTCCCCCCCCCCCCCCCTTGGAATAGAAATGGAGATGTTAATATTGCCCTTTCTCAAACAATGTGGAATATGTTGATTAGTAGGTCTGTCAAGCTCAGAAAATGCACCATAATATTAATCCATATGACGTGTGCATTATATATAGAGTTTTTAAAAAGTCATACAAGAGTTGACTTTAGGCTCCAGGAGGCTTGGAATATAGTATAGAAGTTTAAAATATCTAAATGTTTTTTTCTTTAAAAAAAACAAAAAAAAATTTTTAAATGGCATGAGTGAGTGAGTAAATAAATAATGACAGAATTATCAGTTCCGGGTGATAAATAATGTTAAAATGTTTTGGCTTCACTCTTGAAGGGATAGTTCTCCCCCAAATTAAATATTGTCATCATTTACACTTTTTAATGTAGTTTTTTTTATATATATTTGTGAATTTCTAACATTTACACCGTTAAAAGGAAATCATATTCACATAGTTGTGATCAACTTTACCTGATTAACTTTAATGTAATTTCTCAGCATTCATTTGTTTTCTCATAAGCCTCTCAGAACTTTAAGGAGCTCTAAGAAACTCTAATCCACTGTTTTAATTAAATTTTTATTCACCGTCTCACTGGTGTACGTTCAAAATCTGCTCAGGCTTCAGTTTGACTGAAGGGAACAAAATTGGCACTTAAATCTCAAGCACACCTATGACATTTTCATATTTCAGCACGGTTTTTTTTTTCTTGAGGGAATGTCCGTAAAACATTAAAAAAGTACCAGCATTATTTACTCACCCTCATGTTAAACCTAAACACATATGACTTTATTTCTCCCATAGAACACAGCAGAAGACTTCTAGCTCCATGCAATTATAACAAATGACGACACACTTTTAAAAAGAATGAAAAAGTGTCAAGATCAGTGTTAGGGAAAGTTACTTTTAAAAGTAATGCATTAGAATATTGCGTTACTCCATAAAAAGTAACTAATTGCATTACTTTTATGGACAGTAATCCACTAGGACTATTGCGTTACTATTGCTTTTTGTCACCTGAGCTGGGCTTGCTTATTTATTTTTAATAACAACAAAAAAATATATATTTTTGCCAACTGTAAAGGCCCTTTCACACCAAAAGTGAAATTAATAAGTCTCAAGTGCCTCTGCACCTCACTTCCAATTTCTCTCAACAAGGGGACAGGAGGTGTCAGTAAATACATAGGAAAACAAAATAACTTTAACTTTAGTAACTCCAATATTTTTTTGTAAATTTAAAAGTAACGTGTTGCTTTACTAGTTACTTGAAAAAAGTAATCTGATTACGTAACTCATGTTACTTGTTACAACACTGGTAAAGATGGATTGCTAGATTATATGTTTTATATGAGGAGGGACAGACCAAAATGTAAGTGAAAATAAAAATCTTGACATTTTGACAATCCAGCTCTCCTTAGTGTGTTCATGAGAAATAGAACAATTCATTCTTTTGAGATGAATTCTTTCAATCCGTCAGTTCATTTAGTTCACAAATGGTATTGATGTAAAGAATGAGTCATTCTTGAATCAGACAGCATTGTGATGTCTGATTCATGACTGATTCATAACTTTGAGCCTGATCTTTTCAATGCATCAGTTCAACCAGTTCACAAAACTCATTTGAATGATTCTGATGACTGAATCAGGTTCTCAAGCTGATTTGCTTGACTTATTGATTTGGTCACATGAGGTTAATAGCTTACTTGGGGAAAAAAAGGTTATCACTGGAAAGACTCGCACAAAGCTATCATACAACTTCATTAGAATGTAGTGCATGCATCATATGGACCAATTTTATGATGCTTTTATTATGCTTTTGTAAAGTTCTCGGTTTCAGTTTATTTCAAATGCAATGAAAAGAGTGACCAGTGCAATTCAAAATCCTCCTTTTGTGCTCCACTGAAGAAAGAAAGTAATTCAGGTTTTGAATGACATGAGAGTGAGTAAATGATGACAGAATTTTCTTTTATTGTTTGAACTATTGCTTTAAACCATCGATCGCTTGTTTTCCTCCCTTTGTGGGTTTCTTAGTCTATCTGAATTCACCCCCGGTCTGGCGCATAGAGAGCTGGCTATAATTACTCAGCTAAGCACTAAAACAGAGCAGATAATTAAGGAACACTTTAATTAATAGCCACGTCAGGCACAGCCTGGCGTGGGTCCATGCCGCCATGTGCACTCTATGGTGTTACTTTAGTGGTAGATTTGGACCAATGGTACATAGAGAGAATCTAATGCATCTTAATGCAGTCTCATTTAAGCTGATCATCAAGGCTGCACTTGTTTGATCAAAAATACAGAAAAAAAACAGTAATCTTGCAAAATGTTATTACAATATAAAATAATGGTTTCTATTTTAATATACTTTAAAATATAATTTATTTCCGTGGTGCAAAGCTGAATTCCCATCAGCCATTACTACAGTCTTCACTGTCACATGATCCTTTAGAAATCATTCTAATATGCTGATTTATTATCAGTGCTGGAAACTATTGTGCTGCTTAATATTTCTTTTGGAACCTGTGATACTTTTTTTCAGGATTGTTTGATGAATAAAAGGTAATACAGTTCAAAAGTTTGGGATCAGTAAATTTTTATTCTTTCTTTTTTTGAAAGAAATTAAAACTTTTATTCAGCAAGGAAAGATGTGTTAAATTATTAAGAAGTGATAG